TACAGGAGATTTGCCTAAACCGAGAAATAGCTATGATATGGACTCGGCTGCAGGTATGTAAACGACAACGGTTATTGTTGAAGTCAATGTACAATATTAACGTCGTCCATTTTATAATTTAGTGACCCAAACATTCTTTGAATGAACTTGTAATTCGCGAGGTTGTTTTCTTCCAATCGAATGTCAATATGGGTCGCGTTAAAAATAATAGATAACGTACTGTATGTTTACTATCAGGGTCAACGAACCTTGACCTCAATAATCAAGTAATAAAAGTTAGGAATGGAAATTCCCAAGTGAAGAATTATTAAACTGGTGAAATTATTAGTTTCGTTTATTAGTTTCGACCAATGTCGAGTTTTCTGCCCACATACATATACGAATTCACGTTTAACTACTTTCGAGAAAAGGGTTATGTTAATCACAATCATCCATGCGCGATAAAACTGATTGACACCATCAACAATAACGAAGTTATTAACTGCCGATTGATATACCAACACTTGGCAATATACAGTGATTGACATATGAGCGTATAGCAGGATGCATAGCATGTTTGAAAATATGGATATGGGTTGGGTATATAACCAATATTACATTGTTGTAAACGAGTATCAAAATCGCGTTACGTTGATTATGGTTTGGTGAGTACGAAATAAATGTGGAGAACGTTTGCTACATGTAATTTTTCCTGAGCATTACTTTTGGAATGCCAATATTAAAATCTCGTGTCGTGTATAATATAACCGACGTTGCGTGCTGGTCGATAGTATTCTTTTACGGCGATGGACAGCCACAAATTTTATTTTAGCGAATTATGTCCAGGAAACAAATAATGGAAAAAAAGAAATTAAAGGCTTACGGTTTGTATCGTATTAAATTACCTGCCTTTAAGAAACAGAATTAATGATTATACTAATAATGATTTAAATTTTCTAACCATCCATTGCACAGTATGTTGCTGCGTTTTGGGTAATCTATTGCTTTTATTTTAACCATTTCTAACATAACCCACTAATAACCTTTTTAAGCTAAGCTAATAACACTATGTTATGTGATCGTACAATACAATTTACAAATAATAATTACGTAAGTAGTTTATAATTGATATGTTCAAAGCTCATGTCATTTTCATTCAAGCTCGAGAACTTTAATTGTTCCTTGACTATTGGCAGCCAATAAGGTATTTGTGTTTTTCTTCCAACACACTGAAGAAACAAGAGTTACGGATCATGATCATTGGTATTATCACCCTAAAAGAAAAAGAGAACAACCAAATGCGTCAGATATGGAGAACGGCACGCGATACGCAATACGCGATTTGAACAACACTGTGAATGGATCCACATATAGAATACCACAGTTTATACTTACAGTCACCATATCGATACTTCCAAAGTTGAATTTAATTACTGGCTGTGACAAGCTCTTGTAATACGTATAGACAGCATTATCTTCACTTCCGCACGAAATCAATCGGCAGACGTAGTCAGACCCACAAAGTTTTTCTCGTTTGTATGACCAGTATAAGTGCGAATGCACGCTTGTTTGTTAGCATTCCAGAGTCGGAGACTACTATTCGTCGAACTGTTGGGGGGGAAAAACAAAATGTGAGTAATTCAGCTTGAAAGGCGATATCTAGAGTATGGATTCGACACAGTGATGAAACGTACGCTGATACGAATTGAGTCGAGTTCATGAATTTCACGTAGGAAACGGCCTTTCTATGCCC